GGTGCTTGACTACATGAGACATATTTGTACTGTTCTCAACGAATTCTCATTCTATAGGGCTGAAACTTTCAGAGTAAATTAAGTAATCAAAGATGTATCTATGGTATAAATATGAGCCCTAACTGACGAAGCATTAGACAAAAATCGAAAAAAATACAGTTTTTCCTTACTTTTGGGCCACCCTGTATATATGTAGATACACTTGGGATTAACCTCATGAATACCACTGTCTTCAGACTGAAGACAAACAGAAGTGATCAAATCGACTGAATTTAACAAATGAAAATGATTGGTTGGAACTTTCACAGAAAATCATGCTGACTTTTCTGCTTCGGAACATGCAAAACTGGTGCGATGCTTCTGCAGCTTTCTCGAGGTATTAAGGAAAATGTAACTTCGATGGCGCTAATTTTACAATGATTTGGCATTAGGTCAAGGAATATTCAGAGAATGCTGCAGAATCATCGAACTATTTTTGTGTGTTTCTAGGCAGAAAAATTAGTCTGATCTTTTGTGAAAGTTTCAATCAATCATTTTCATGTGTAAAATTCGGTGGATTTCGCCAGTTCTGTTTGTCTTCAGTCTGAAGACAGCGGTATTCATGAGGTTAAATCATACAGAAAATATGTTCATTACAACCCATGTGTGTGTTATTTGCTGGTTTTTCTTTTTATTTCCTTATTTTGCGCCTTTCTTATGCCTGTATGTGTATCATTAGGATATTTTTCTGTAACTGGAAAAAACGAATAGATCCTCGTAAAAATAGAATTATCTATTTAACACTTATTTGCAAATAATCGCTCTACAAATTCTGTTGACCAACTTTTTTGAGAAAGATGGAAAAATAAAAAGTATATTGGGCAAGGTTATGGATAATTAAAAGTAAGATTCAAAATTATAAAGAAGGTCTATGTTGTAATATGGAGATTGAGAGATAATCGATTTGATGAAGACATTCTATGATTTTAAAATAAAGCTTGACAAAGATTTCAGAATACATAGAAACCTTTATATCACATTAAAATGTTACAAGAAGCTTTCCACTATCTCATAGTACTTTGAAATGTCAGAAATAAAGCTTTCACTTCTGTCGTTTTTGGATTTTAGATTAGGAAATGTATTTTAAATCAAATTTACATTTTTAAATCGTAATAAACTCTCTGCAGATTTATTGCATGATTCTAGTACTCTTCCAATTACATTATGTGTCGTCATAAAAAGTATCATTTATTCCTTTATTTTTCTTTTATTATTCAAAAATAAATGATTCATTTACGTTAATTTTTTAAAAATAAATGATTATTTATCTTTATTTTTTAAAAATAAAGGATCCATTTACCTTTATTTTTTAAGAGTAAAGCATTCATTTATCTTTATTTTATAAAGTAAAAGTAAAGTGCCACCCCTAATGAATAAAACAGTTCTGTTGCTTTTAATGCCCTCTTTCGATAGAAAATTGCATATATAGAACATAAGGAAGTGAAGAATATCTATTGGTCTTTATGCTAACCTATATGCAAGCGATTAATAAGGTCAAAATATAACATAACTAGGAATACAGAAAAAATCGCACTTGAAAACGAGAGTTGTGATTAGGATTATTTCAGCATATGTGTTCAACACCATTACATCATAATTAATGAGTATTGACAGACGTTATTTAATAAGAAAAGTGAGCGAATGATTGAGTCAACGCAATTCGCACATGTATATTGGTTAGCATCAACCAAAGTGCGATGAAAATTAATCGATTTGTTGATATCTTGATCTATGAGAAGATTTGTTTAATATTAATTAATTTATTCAGTTCCGTCTGAATAATATAAACATCCTTTTTGAAGATTTATATAGGTACCAGTTAGCTGTGATATCTTTTCAATATTGTCACATAATCAGAAAGGTGAAATGTTTATCTGATGAGATCATAATAATTTTACAATTATTTTTTTTTGTGAAAGGTATATGAGTATTTTTGACCTTGATTTTACTTTAACCAAATAATTCTTTAACACATATACAGCGCGGATCAATTGGTTTTCCCCCTTGATATTTTTTTTTGTTTTTATTACTATACTTCTTTTATATATTAACCTACTATATATAGCGAGGAAGCCCGGAACGCGCTCCATCTTTTAGTATATTTACATTAAACATCGTTAAACATCAAATGCAATTTAAAGTATAAAAGATGTATCAGAACAAAAGTGACCTTTTTTTTTACTACAGAATGTCCATAATGTGGTAACATTTTTTATTTCGCGTATATCTCGACTTGGGTAAATGATAAAATCTTGAATATTTTTCCAGAAGATACATCGTGAAAAGCTCTATAAAAAAATGTATGAATGAATTCCTTTTTACCTGTTTTAATGGTTTTTCTTATACTTAAAATGAACAACCTACATGACAGTGTCACTGTCCATCATAATGAAAATGTTTGGAAGACTTTTTGTTTTGCATATATCTCGACTTGAGAAAATGATGGAATATTGAATTTTTTTTAAAGATGTGCTGACGAAAGCTCTACAAAACTTGTTTAGACTAAATCCTATAGTGAATTGAAAAGACCTCGAAATATTTTCTATATGACGGGAAGTGAAACTGTCATGTAAGTTGTTCATTTTTAGTATAAGAAAAACCACTAGAACAGGTAAAAAGGAATTCGATCATACAACTTTTGTAGAGCATTTCACGATGCATCTTCTGGAAAAATATTCAAGATTTTATCATTTACCTAAGCCGAGATATATGCGAAATAAAAACTGTTACAACATTATGGACACTCGGTATTATAGTGAGAAAAAAATGTCACTTTTTTTTCTAATACATCTTTTACACTTTAAATTCCATTTGATGTTTAATGTAAATATACCAAAAGATGCAGCCAGTTCCGGGCTTTTTTTCCTATATATAGTAGGTTAATAAATAAAAGAAGGATAGCAAAACAAAAACAAAAAAATATCAAGGGTAATATCAATTGAGCCGCGCTCTACGTTGTCTGGATTTAATCCCTCGTTTTATGGTAACAGAAACAAAGAAAGAAAGAAAAAAAAATAAACAGAATCACATACACACGCACATCTCTCGCTATATACAGCAATGTCTCCATCTCTTTCGTTCATTCAACATATCATCCACTTTCGATATTCTTCTTTCGTGAAAATATATAACGATGTAAGGAGCGATATTGCATTTGTTTAATGCGAATTGCGCCAAAAACAATATATAACAATGCTAAAGTTATTTTCTCTTTTAGGGTTAAAACTACATCAAGTAAATCTGCTCATCGATTTATATCAGATTATAAAAATGTAAGCATCAAAATTTTATTTAAGAATACATATGAAATATCTTCTAACGGGTTTTTTAGTGTGGTGTAAAAGTAACGAATGTGCCACCATACATTAGTGAAAACGACCTCAAAGATGAATTGAATCGTCTGTTTGATGATACGATTTTGACGCTTGATTTAATACTTGATCCTACGGATAGTGCAACAGGCATCGCATTTATCAAATTTGATAGTATTGATTCAAAACAAAATTGTTTAAATCTTCAAAACGAAGAAAAATATTGTTTCGTGCAGTAAGTTTGATTCAGCCACTTTATCAAATAATTAAATATTCATTTTTGTAGTGATCATATCTGGGAAGGTCCGCTCATTTTCACAGAATTTACAAATTTAAAGGAAGAACTTGAAAACGACCGCAATTTTTGTATACCAAATCCTTTAAAGTAAGTTTACTTTTGTTCATGGAACAAGTTCTAGGACATTTTAGATAGTTGGATTTTCCCAACATGACGTATTGGGTTTTTTCCTCAGTGTGTTATCACATATTTTATATTGGACTTTTCCCAATATATTCGTTTATGTCATACTTGGTATTCTCCAACTTTAGTATGCCAGCAGAGCGAAAAAAGCATAGCGTTTTAAGCGAATCAATATCAAATGCACTACGTGTGGCGACCTCTTAGAAAATTAAATGGGCCGAGGTTTTTGTTAATACTAGAAGATAGAAGAAAAAATTCTCTATCGAGCTGTGCTTTTAGTTTTTTCTAAAAAAGTGATTGTCCTAGAGAAATAATCGATATAATTTGACCAATCGAAAAAAAGATAGTCTTTAATGGCGTCAGCATGGAATGGTAATACAATACAAAATGACAGCTTCATAGAATGAATTCTTTAATTTAATCTTATTGCATTTTAGTTTTTTTCGTTGTACTTTCTTTTGTATAAATTAAGTCTATTTTTTGTATATTAACGATCGTTAAATTTATTTTATAATCAATTTTACGATCAACAAAAACAATTAACAAATAAATATGATTAAAAAAATTTACAAATATGATCACAAAAAAAAAACAAATGAAAAGAATTGTCTTGTTTTTATTGAACTTCATTTTGTATCCATAATTTCGTCAAATCTGTGCTGGACATGGTTTTGACTTAGGTTGTCTCAGAGATGTTTTCTAAAAAGAAATTGAAAAAAGACAAAATGACACAAAAAAAGAATAATTATTACTATGATTGTTGTATCAGGATTTGCTTTCCGTCTTATCTTAGAAGTTTAATGAAAACAAAGAAGAACATAATATTGATTGATTGAAGACGTTCTAAAAAGATGAAATTTATCTGTATTAAAGAATACTCTTGATTGTGTATGCGATAGTTTCCATGGAAGTCTAAAACAAAATGCACACATACACTGAGGATATGCACATCAATTGTAAGTGTGCACTTTGCTTGTAGTAGCAAAATGTACTAAAATCGTTTTTTTATCTAGAAAAGAAAAAATACTATATTTATTATTCTATGAAATATAAATCAATACTTAATCAACAAATAATCAATGAATAGACAGTATCTCAACATGTAATATGGTGTTTTACTAAAAAGAAATGAGAAGCTATTTATGACGAACAAAAAACTATTGATTGCAATCAAAATCACAGAATACTTTTTTATGTCGAGTGATATAGTTTTAGACAGGGCATACAAAATAAACGAAATTATATTTTATTATTCAACTAGGAAATTATATGTAAGAGATTGTGATGTAGTGTTGTATAATTATAGTCATAATGATTAATGTATAGCCTTTTCTAAACCCAGTCTAGAATCAAATGATTTTTTTTTATAAGATGTACACAGTACATGTTACTTTTTTAGTAAAGTGTGAATCAGAGTGCAAATCAAAATGAAAATGTTCTGTACATTTTGCTTCTACTATGTACGCCTGTTGTTGAAAACAATATGTGCACGAATATAACAATAAGAACATAATACCCTATTCTTATTGGCTGCTGTGTTGCATTGCTCTTTATTGGTTCACTTAATTAATAATTTTCTCGAGAAAAAAAAATAGGCCGAAAAATCTGACTTCATGAGATGATTTGTCTTTTGACAAGCTACAATTTGATATAAAGTAGTTCCTCTGAAAAAGTGATCGAAGCATTTCAGAAATTAGCGCCACTAAGTGCATAAGTGTCTTCTCCATTTGATAATGATTTGATGTTTTTTCTCGCTTTGCCGGTATACTACTTGCTTATATATACATATATATGTGTCCGTCCTTCTCTTCTGTTGTTCACTATTACATTCACTAGTTCGCTAGTCCTCTTCTCTTTTCTTCTGTGTGTTCTCTTCTCTCTTGTTCTTCGTGCTGCTTCTCCATCTGATTTGTCATTGAATAAAAAGAATTAACGTTCACACAAAACTACAAAATCTACAAGTTTTACCCAAAGTGATGTTTATTTCATTAAGAGAAATGTCTATGTTGATATGTTCATGTATAGTCTTTGTAATGAACAGAATATAATATGATAGATATTCGATATCTTCGTCATCACTGACGTGATGCTAAAATAATCATTGAGAATTAGAATTTTATGCGAATTTTCAATCGTTAATCATAGTTTTCTATTGATACAGTCATCTAAGAAGTCAATTTTAAATCTTAGACTCTTCATGACGAACGAAGATCCATCATATACATTGGCAAAAGATATTGCGAAAGTCTATATTGATATCGCAAACTCAAATAATCGGACCAAAGAAACAATAAGCATGATGAAAGAAAATGAAATTAGAAAAGGTAATATAACTTGTTAAAAGCCTCTCGTCATTCTCTTTATTCTAGAAATTCAAATGTACGAACAACAAAAATTTAATCTCGATGAAAAACTCGATCAAGAAAAGAAAAAGCTCGATGAAGAAAAGAAAAAGCTCGATCAAGAAAATGAACAACGAAAAAACGAAATTGATGGTCGTATTAAAGCTCTGAACCATATGCTTAAACGTCCTTATCCTACAGACTAAAGTAAGTGAAAAATAAATGAAATTTTCACGAGTGTAATAATTTATCTTTGTTTTAGAAATCAACCATCAATTTTTCTTATTTTTTTGTTTTTGTTTCCTGTTCATCTTCTCTTGTCTTGTCTTGTATTGTATTGTATTGTCTTGTCTTCTCTTCTCTTCTCTTCTCTTCTCTTCTCTTCTCTTCTAGTCTTGCTCCACTTGATGATGATTGACAATTATTTAAATTATCAAATGCTCAACAACAATTTCATTTATTCAATAAATTCAATACAAAACGTCGATTACTTATTTCACATGATCGATATATATCAGATGTATTTTATTATAATGATTTATTAACAAGAATTGATTGTTAAACACCTGAATGTATTCTTATTTGTCCATTTGATTTACTTAGTGAATTATTAGGTAATGATGAAGAAGTTCGTATACATATTGACCAAACATATTTACCATGAATTGGTACACAAGCTTAACGAATGCGTATTGATTATGATCTTATTTTACTTCAACCAGCTCAAGAATGTTGTCCACAATCAAGTGAACGTGTGATTAGAATTATTTGTAATGATCCAAGAAAAAATGGTATCATGTTTAGAAGAAATCTATTCAATTTGTTGTCAACAAGGTAACGTCACAAATAAGAAAAATGTTTTTTGAAATTTCATTCATTCTGAAAACAATTCATTATTTTATCGTAAGGAAGAAACCATAGATTAGCGAATGATATTGAGTAAAAGTGGATAATCATTATAAAACTCGTATTGATGACCCAGGCTCATTAGTCCAATAGTCGGATATCATCGGTTCCAATAAGCATTAGATAGAGGCACTATCGCAATTTTATGTTACAATATGAAATTCGATAGAAACTAATATTGATTCCGGGAAATGAAATCAGATGAAATCGTCGACAGTCAGATAAGATTGCATCCTAGTATTGTAATTTCCTACTGATTAGATGGATACTAATTAAACGAGTAGTAAGTAGAATTGGATCGTCGAATTCGACAGTGATTCCATCAACTGGATTTCCGTCAGATTCTGTCTACTAGTCGGATTTTACAAGATCCAGTCAGATTAATGGACCAAAGCATCAAACTCTGATTTATTCTACTTAAAAGTGAAGACAAATTCAAAAATTTAGTATATTCTTCTATATCTGATCATTCGAGATAACGCGTTTTTTTGAATAATTGCTTAGCAAATTTCAACTATTGATTGAAGTCTAATTACATTTGTATTTTTTAGCTGTACCAATTGCATCTAATCCATATATTCCAATCAATTATAATAGATCAAAAACTCATATCTATTGTGGCTATTTAGATATTCTAGTGCTCAATCATTCATCTATTAAAAATAATACTACAAACACAAATTCTTTATTTCTTCTTCAATTAACAAATCATTTTCAAACTCCTATGACTTCTATTTCATCATTACCAGAATCATCTACTCAACAACATTTTGCTCATGTTCTTATGATTGTTTCCGTTCGTCAAACACTTTCAATAATAGATATGCAAGTAAACACTTTATTAGGACCAAAAGAAAAATGAATTCAACAATCACAACATGAAACTGGCGCTATTGTTAACATAAGTGATTCGAATGATGAAAATATTGATCGACGAAAACGTATTGTTAATATTCAAGGAAGTTAACAACAAGTAAATAATGTTCTACAAACAATACAAAAACTTCTATTGATAAATAACATTGATGGTGTTGCAGAAGATGTATTAAAGAAAGATGGAGGAGAAATGAGAAAGATGTGAACTATTTTTATTTGCGATGTTGTAAGAAAAAAACTTCAAACATTAGAACTTCTATATTGTCAATGGATCATTTTTTTTCTCAGGCTTTATGTCGTTAGTTCGTTTCTTATTTGTCTATATGTGTTTCTCTAGTGCTTTTTTTTTTGAAGAAGAATAAAAGAAAAGAAAAAAAAAGAGTAAATAGGAATTATTATCATTTAAATATTAAATATTTTATACTCGTTTTAGTTCTTAATTTGGTGGATCTGAACGAAAAATGATGATAATCTCATTAAATTTCGATCGAATAAGTTATAATAACAAAATATTCATTGGTTAGCAACGAGTTAGGAATAAATATAGTTTCAATGGTGATTCAAAAGTTTTGATCTCCTTCTGTAAGTTGATGTTATTTGTATGAAATACAAGTATCATATAAATCAAGATAGATACTTAGGGCAATCCAAAAGTACTGGCGGAGCCTTTGTATTCCCTTACATAAAACTTTTAAAAACTTTCTTTCTATACAGTTTGACAGAAAAAAGAATGCTCTGTTCTTTTATACTATTTGATGATACCCCAACTAATATCATAATAATAAAACTTCGATAAGATCTGTTTTGTACGCATGTGTTCTGGTAGCAAGAACGCTCATTTTGAAAAAGGTAGATGAGCATTTTTCGAATAACTTTTGACGGACTCAAGATAGAGAACTGGGGTTTTTATCGCTAGATAGAGGAGATAAAGGCGCATAAAATCATACATTATAAGAATTTCTGGTCAGTTTTATATTAGATTTTCAATTGACCGTTTTGGGAACAAATAGATGAGATAAATTGTCAACGATTAATTCTAGTCAGCAAGTATCGGTTAAAAGTACTAATCGAAGATCTAAAAACTGCGAAAAACTTAAATGAATAACACATGTCCTAGTCAAGTCTCTAATACAATTTATTAGCAGTAGCTGTGAAGAAAGCTAACTTTTGCGTTTTTTTTTCTTTTTTCATTAAAAAAGCATTTTTCTAACAGTTAGAAAATTAATTAAAAATACTTCAGAGAGAGGGCTGGCAGAATTCACAAGCAGAATTTAAGAACTCTGTCATAGCATCAACATCATATACCATTCAGAGTTCTCTAACTTTACTTAGAATTTTGTTTATTCATTAGAATTTAACCAGAGTTCTTCTGTTTTCTTCGAAACTTTAGTCAGAAATCTGATTACCAAACAGAATTGTGCGCAATCCTATACAGCTACGTCATATGCTTCCTCATATACAAACATCGCTGCATCCAAATCACAATTATAGTTAGAATTCTGTTTATTCAGCAGAATTTAACCAGAATTATATCAGAATTCTGGTTCCCTAACAGAATTGTGCTATATTAAATACATATACCACTTCAGCGCAATGAAAACTCTGCAAAGCATTTTGTTTCACGGCAGAAATGAGTCAGAATTCTGTTACATTACATACATATACAGCTGCATGAAAAACAAAATTCTGCTTAGAATTCTGATTTTCCTCCAGAATTTAGTTAGAATTCTGATTCCCTAGCAGAATTGTGCTTCATGACATACATCTACTTCTTTTCAGTTCTATATATACATATATATGTATTTTGGTCTTGATTACAAAGAAAAAAAGACAAGACAAAAAGAAACTATGAACATGCAAAGAAAAAAAAAGCATACAAAAAGAATACTTTCACCATCCTATGATTTTGAATGTTCGTTATGTAATATGATCCGACCAATTTATATAAATAGATATATATATATATATATGTTATTTTTCTAAATTTCATGAGCATATTTTTGAGTCCAATCACGTGCTAAATATAAATACAAAGACGAATTATTTAATAAATCATGTATGAATAATTAATTGTTTTTTTTTTTTTTTTTGTTTTTGAATACCTATAGCTTTGGCTCCATTTTCATCAGCTTTCCATTTTTTAGCAACATCAGCATCTAAAAAATCATCTGGATTAGGTGCACTTATTAAAGCTTGAATAGATAAAAGGACGGTACGAATTTGTAAAGCAGGACTCCATTTTTTTAGATGAAAACAAAAAAATTTTCATTAAAATTCATAAATAAAATAAATCCAAATACCTTTGAGAATATCAAGACAAATTCGACCTAATTTATCAATATTTGGATGATAAAGTTTTGTCATAAAACGAACTTTTGGTGGTGCCATTGGATATTCTTCAGGTAAAAATAATTCAACTTTGAATTTACCACCTTCATATGGACTCTACAATAATAAAATATAATTAATTTATAAAAATATATTCAAAACATAATCATACTTCACTAGGTCCATCAATGACTACTTTAAAATAGCGTGGATTATGTTCATCAACTGCTGCACTTATGCCTGATACTGGTTCTTGTTGTAGACAAGCACTTTCCTAAAAACAAATATATAATTGAAAACATATATCGAAATTCTTACTTTTACGATACGTTTAGTCAATGCATCATTATCGTTCATTTTTGTATAAATATAAAAGAGAATAATGAAAAAAAAAGTAAGATTATAAGAATTTTAATATTAAAAAAAAAATATTAATCATCATTTTGTCAATATTCAAATACATTGACTTATTTATTCATGTGGGTAAAAGAATGTGTAACGAAAAGGAAAGTACTTTGTGGTTGTTGTTGTTTTCTTTTCTTTGAAAAATTAAAAGAGAAAAGAGAAAACAAAATTAGCGAACATCTTTCACAAACATATTTCTTCATTCATTTCAAAAACAAGAAACAGAACAAAAAAAAATGATTTGTTTATATCATAATGTTCATAGTTAGAAATAAGAATACTTGAATTTATTTTTAAAACAATTCATAGAGGTAAATAATGAATTGACAATCATCTGTTTGACATTTTGGAATAGTCTGTTTTTTTTCTTTTTTTTGCATTCTCTGAGAAGAAAAATATTCTCTCTTTGTGAACAATTGTGACATCCCTCCAGGTCAATGAATATTTTCTTTATATGTCAATTTTTAGATGCGTATTTGTTCTTAGAATATAAATGGTCTTTGCTCATTACGACAACCATTACGAAATGTACTTGAACAACTTGATTGTGATATAATGTTTTCAAGAAACGAAAGTTACTCGTAAGTTTTCATAAAAATTATCTGAAATTTATTTTCTATATCACAAATATATCTTGTATGAAATAATATTATCTTAGGTCAAGCTCTTGCTGAAATATATGCTCGAATCGATGGTTATCATATATTTTATAGTTGATCTCGACTTCGACAAGATTATTCTGGTGTAGCTATTTTTTGTAAAAATTTTCTAACACCAATTCGAGCTGAAGAAGGTATATTATATAGAATATTAGGTTTTTTTGTTTTGTTTTAATTTTGTATACAATTCGAATATTCTGTTAGTTTATAGGACTTTGTGGAAAATTATATACAACAATTGATGATAGTTTAGGTGATGAATATCCTTCAATGGATGAAAATGATCTTTTAGCAATTGATAGAGAAGATCGTGCAATTATGACTGAACATGAACTTGAGTAAATATAGAAAAGAATTTTTTGCTTTTTAATTTTAATTTTTTTAATTTTTTATTAGAGATGGTACAAGTCTTGTTGTTATTAATGTTTTATTGTCCTCGTGTTGATAGAGATAAACCTGAACGATTAACTTATAAATTAAATTTTTTTTCTGCAATTGAACAACGTGCTAAATATTTTTTAGAACGTGACTAGTAAATTATTTTGTTTTGTTTTTAAATTAAAATTAGATTTATTTTATTTTTAAAAGTCGTGTCTTGGTTGTATGGTGATTTTAATGTTTCTCATAAACTAATTGATACATGTGATCCAGGAGAAGATCTTAATGTAAAAATAAATAATATTTTTCTAATATAAAAATTCAATTTTTGTTTTTGTTTTCATTTTAGTATTTTAATTCTAGTTCATCACGTCTTTGGTTTTCAAAATTTATTGATAATGATATTTTTATTGATACATTTCGTTATTTATATTGAAATCAACGTGAAGCTTATACATGTTGGGAAACATTATCAAATGCACGAGTTAATAATTATGGTATACGAATTGATTATATTTTATGTGATGGTATTATATCAAAATTACATCTTATTAATTGTGAACATCGAATTGAAATTGAATCAAGTGATCATTGTCCAGTTATTGATGAATTTAATTTTATATTAAAAGATCGTTCAGAAAAAAAATCACCATCAATATGTACAAAATTTTGGCCAGAATTTAAAGGTACACAAATGAAATTAAATCAATTTATTGTTAAAACAAAACGTATACGTAATGAAGAAATTACTATCGATGATGATAAGTACGAGATAAATATAAACAAAAAAAGACAAAATTTCAATTGGTTTTTTTTTGTAGAAAACAACAAGTAGATGAAATAACTACAACAAACAAACAAGTTAATATAGAAGTAAATGTATTGTAATTACTTAGCAAATAATTTGTATTCTAATTAAGGAATCATCCGATCGAATATCCACTATTTAAGCTCATAAGGATGTCTTGGTGAGACTAGAAAAAGTTCATCTTCATTGGGATCTTTCGAGACGAATTATGATCAGTTTACTCCATTTTCGATGTCGTTTTAGACATATATTGTAAATACGAAATGTCGAAATAAAAAATTTTGTTCATAGATACTAAAGATGTTCGAGATCAAGGTTTTTTTTTTTTGTTGACAATGCCGAACTTGTTTTTTTTTTTCACTAAAATTTATGAACTTCAATGATAAAGACTAAAAATTAATATTAATACTTTTGCAGACTCATCAATCAAATGAAGAAATCATTAACAAATCAACAGTAATCGAAAGCAAAACCACCATCTAAAAAAATTAAATCAGATCAATCATCAATTTTTCAACATTTTAAACGAACTTCTCAACCAAACCTCGTTCCAATATCTAAAGTATGTTTTTTTCAATCTATACATTATTTTTTTTGGAAGAATACGGAAGTCGTTTCTTCATCAAATATTGAACCTAATGAAAAATCAAAGAAAACAATAACTACATGGAATCAAATTTTTCGTCCTCCAACACCACCACCACCATTATGTTCTGGTCATAAAGAACGATGTGTTATACGTCAAGTTAAAGATACATCATCTGTTAATTGGGGACGATATTTTTATGTATGTTCACGTGCTAATGGTGCTCCAGACAATTCACAAGTACGATGTGATCATTTCTGAATGGAAAGAAATCAAGAAAAAGACAATTTCAATGAATTAAATTCTCTTCGTATATAGCTTATTTTTTTATTATCTCAGGAAAATAGAAATAATTAAGAGTAAATTAAAATAAAAAAAAATATTCATTCAACTTGAACACCTTTCCAAAATGCAATATAATCTTTTATATTATTAGCTACTTCTTTTGGATTTGGATAATACCAAGGTGCATCTGCATTTTCTTTATCATTGACAACTATTGTATAATAGGATGCTACATCTTTCCAACCACATGTTGTATGAGTATTTGAATCTTTGAAAAATTCTTTTTTAATTGAATCCAGTGGAAAATAATGATTATTTTCTACGACAATGGTTTTATCACTTTCAGCAAGAATTTGATCATTTCATATGGCTTTTTTTGTCATTATTTGTAGTTTGATAAGTTAGTGTACAATATGTAAGAATGAAATAAACAGTAATTGTTTTTCTATCAGATAATGACAGCGCCTTTTTTTTTGTTGTAAATCAATCAGGAAGATGAAAAGCGAATTGAATTTTGTTATTCGATAGATGTCCGTCTATGATGAAGAATTAAAAGAAAATTCTGTAATTTAAATGAATTTTTTTTCAATGTTTGATGAGAGGCAACGATTTTAAAAATAGAATTAAGAAATTTACATTTACAGAAGAAAATAATACGAAGTTAAATTTCAAAATGAAATATTTAATGCGGTGCGAAGCAATGCATTTATGTAGTCCGTCGCGAGTCTTTTTAATGTGGTGCAAAGCACAGCATTTATGTAGTCGTGCGCGAGTTTTTTTTAATGCGGTGCGAAGCACAGCATTTATGTAGTCCGTCGCGAGTTTACTTTTTCTTTTAATGCCCTGCGAAGCAGGAGCATTTATGTAGTCCGTCGCGAGTTTTTTTTTTTTTTACTTTCTCGATGTACGCACATCGAATGCCTGTTTTGTGTCGCGATGATCTCAAGAACGGAAACTCGGAAAATTTTTGTTGAAACGTGAAGTGGAAGAACCGAGATCGAACCTGTGAAATCTTTTATCAAATCATTAAAAAGACTCTTACTCCTCTTACAAATTGGGATTACATAATTAAATGTATATATATATATACGTAGTGTCTCTTTCAGAATTTTGATGGATAATGACCATATATCCATTGGTTTAAATATTAAAGTCATAGAAATGATGTGTTCATAAAGAAAGAATTACTATGAAAGAGGGAGGAAAAGTCTATTAAATAAATGACGAACGGTTTTTTGTACTCAATTTTGACCGTTGATATTTGGATAATGATTAAACACTATTATACAAAAATGTGACAATATCAATATAGTATTGAGATATTGGCAATCGTATTCACACCTTAGAAGAGTTAAATCTGAAGATTTTGGAGATTTAAATAAGGATTCAAATTCTTTATTGTGAGGAATCTCTGATCAAGCTTTGTCAACACTCATTATTTCTGAAGATAACCTGCGTTCAATGAAGTGATTACAACCACAAATTCTATGAAACTAACTTGAAATTGATGGACTTAATTTTATAAAAAAAGTAGAAATGATCTTTTGGGAAAATGGTTTTTCATTAAATTTAACGAACTACCAATACCAGTATCTTGGTTTATTCCACTTTGCTGATCAAATTTTTCAAATACTTTTATTAAGTATTACTTTATATAGCGAAGAAAGGGATCCCAAAAAAGTCCATGAAAATTCTATTA